GGTACATGTATTCCGTTACTCCCCAACACTGAGTATGGGGTAGCTGTGTCACACAATATACCTTTTACTTTTACTGTAAATGTGTAACAATTGCCAGCAACAATTGGAAATAATCATGTAACTAATAATGCTACCAGTGTAAAATGGTCAGAATTTAGTGAAGATGGCGTATTGGCCTATTATAATAATACAGATAAATATTTAAACAACATTTATTTGCCTAAAGAAGCTATTTTGTGCAAAGGGGTCAAATGTAAGAATCTTGAGCATAAACATAAACTTTGTTCCATGCATGATGATATTGTGACTGCGTTGTATGAAAGTGGTAAACCATTTGATGTACAATGCAAGGATAAAAAGAAACCTTATATCAGGCCTGGTTGGGAAGAACACGTAGCCATGTATCAGGATGAAGCGCATGTAGCTTAAAAACTTTTGGGCTGGAAGACCTAAGAAAGGCCCAGAGTTTGAACAGAAAAGGCTTGCAAATGCCAGATATAAATATACTGTTTTTACATCTAAAGGTGAGCAGGTTGTGAAAGCAGATTTGAAAATGGAGAACAATAATGTCACAGATTTTTGGAAAGTGGTAAAAATTCTTAATAATTGTTAAATAACTCTCCCGTGCACAGTTGAAGGTTTTTCTTGGACAGATAATATAGCAGCATTATGGAGACAGCATTGCAGTACATTGTTCACTTGTATAAAAAGTGAACCATATGTGGATGATTCTGACATTGCTGATAAACCTATAAGGATACACATACACATGAGGTATATGAAACCATTCATAAATGATTTAATAATAAAGGCTGCAGTTTGGGTCACATTACTGCAGAACATCTAAAAAATGCTAGTTTAAGGCTAGCTCCTCTTTTAGTGCTCTGTTTCACTGGTTTTATCATCCATGTAATATTACCAGACTCGATGTTGTGTATTTTGCTTGTCCCAGTTATTAAGGACAAAGCTGGAAAAGTAAGCTGTTTGGATAATTATAAGCCAGTATTTCATCTAAGGTTCTAGAAAGAATCCTATTGGATAGAGTCAGTGTGTATATCTCTTCCCTGGGTAATCAGTTTGGCTTCAAGCGAAACATGGTACTGACATGTGTATATACACACTTGAGGAAATGGTGAACTTGTATGGGGCAAAAATTCATCAGACTTCATGTGTTTTATTGATGCTTCTGATCCAGTAAACCACAGGAAACTTTTTGTTAAATTAAAACGACAGTGACTTCCTGGGTACATTACTGGAATGCTCATCAGAAGATGCAGGTTAGATGGGAATGCAGTATTCCTGCCCCATTGGTGTTAGCAATGGTGTCAGACAGGGTGGGATTTTGTCTCCAGATTTATTTAATTTATATGTTGCAGATGACCTGGTGGTCTTCAGTCCAAGTAGTGCTGGTTTCCAGCAGCTCCTTAATATATGCACTGAATAAGGTGTGCAATGTGGTATAAAGTACAATGCAGGTGAAAGTGCTATTTTGCTATGTAGAGCCAAGCAGGATTAAAAAAGCTACATTTTCCAGTGTTTAAACTGTCAAACAATATTTTTGAAGTTTATAAAAAGGTGAAATACCCTGGTCGTTTTATTACTGATCAAATGAATGATGATGATGATGATGATGATATATACAGACAATGCTGTAAGCTCTATGCTCAGGCAAACACAACTGCACTGTTTCTGAACCAGTAAAAGTGGCATGTTTAAAGCATATTGCACACCGCTCTATGCTGCCCCCTGTGGTCATCTTAAAGAGGGGGAGTGCCAGTCAGATGTGTGTAACTGCAGGTATTTGTACTTTTAAAGCACTCTTAAGGAAGTTAATGTTCACTTTTTTCCTTTATATGCTGTGCTTTTTCTGTGCAATCGTGGAATTATGTGTGTTAATAAAGCTTGATTTCGATACAGCAGATGAACAGTATCTTAAAGTCATGTCCTTAAGAAATGAGAAGAAAGTCCCAGGCAGACCTGACACAGGACCTGAGAGTCAACTGCTCCTTCAGTTCATTCAGTGTTCATCACAAATATATTGAGCTATGACAAATGACATAAGAACTGGACTGAAAATCAGTGACAATGATGAATCCATATTTTACTTTTTTTTTTTACACAACAATGAATTTATGAATATAGAAGAGTACTGTCAGTTTTTTTTATCTGAAAAACATCTGATTGGCAAGATAATCATTTTTCAGTATGATAATGACCCCAAACAGACTGCAATGCAGTAAAATTATTCATTTTTGAACTGTTAGCTTTTTACTCACAACTTAAGGGTGCATTGATCTGTTATCTGGATCTGATATCGACCCAGCACTGACCCAAAATCGAATACATTTCTTTAAAAAAACAAACAAAAAAAACCTACCCCTTAATATCTAATCTCTAAAAAAGGTCCATCTTTATTTTAGTTATTTTTTTTACTTCATGATCCACCAGCCTAAGAACTAACAAAGCACAGAGAAAGCTTTGCAAGAATTTCAAGCTTTCTACTCCATCAGCTTTTCCAGGTATACTTGGGGTAGTTTTTTAATATATATTAGTGTTCAGAAAAGACTCTCACACAGCTGAAATGAAACTAAAGTAAAGAAGGTGAATAAGTGTGAATACCTTCTTTCTCTCATTTTGATTTCATTTATGTTGGTCCTGTTGTCAGGTGTTATTTTACTATGACATACCAGTTCAGTACATTTATATCCTTGCACTGGGAGAAACACCCCTCAACCATGCTACAAGTGTTGACATTGCATAGTTTGTCCATCAGGGGGCACATACTCCACAAATACAACAACCAGACCATTAATGAGTAATTGATGTTGCAATGATACAAAAAAATAAGTTTGTCCTAGTAAGGACTCATAAATAACTACATATAATGAATGCTATGGAAATCTATTTGTTTTGTGTGCCTAAAGAAAAAATATAGATTGATTTATCACCAAATATTGGCACCTATATAAGCTGGGCTATAATATTTTATTAAATACACTTATTTGTTATACTGTATTTGTTTAACTCAAGAAAACAGTGTTTAAATCAACCTTTGATTTTTCCTTAATACATAAATAAATGATTCTCCATCTCTTGCCAAGAGTGACGAATACAGCATATTAATCTAATCAAAGGAGCTTGCAAAGAAAAGCGTCTGGACTTCTTTAAATTACTTGAAGATGTTTCACCTCTCATCCGAGAAGCTTCTTCAGTTCTAAGGTCAAATGGTGGAGAGTCCCAGATTTGTCATCCCCTATGTGGCCGGTGTATCAGAGAAACTCAGGAGGGTTTTCTCCAAGCATGACATCCCGGTGCTTTTCAGACCCAGCAACACGCTCAGACAAAAACTGGTTCACCCGAAAGACAAAACGCCAAAACACAGACTTAACAATGTGGTGTATGCTGTACAGTGCAATGCCCAGACCTCTACATTGGAGAGACCAAACAGCCACTTCACAAGCGCATGGCACAACACAGAAGAGCCACCTCCACAGGACAAGACTCAGCAGTCCATCTGCATCTTAAGGATAAAGGACACTCTTTCGAGGATGCCAATGTTCACATTTTGGACAGAGAGGACAGATGGTTTGAAAGAGGAGTGAAAGAAGCCATCTATGTCCACTGTGAGCGACCATCTTTGAACAGAGGCGGGGGTTTACGACACCAACTCTCTGCCATCTATAATCCAGTTTTGAGATCCCTTCCCAGACGCCTTAACGCCCACTCACATCCTGAGCCATCTGATCTCAGGAATTCGCATGATAAGGTGGGGCCAGGTTTCACAATGAACTCACCCGAAACTCTGGCTGATTGGGACCCACACCCAGTTTCACACCTTGGCTCAGTGGATTAGAGGATCATCAGGGGGTCCTTTTGTCCCTCTGTGGGGGGAAACTCCCACTAGGTTTATATCTGGGACTCTCCACCATTTGACCTTAGAACTGAAGAAGCTTCTCGGATTAGAGGTGAAACGTCTTCAAGTAACTAAAAGAAGTCCAGACGCTTTTCTTTGCAAGCTCCTTTGACTACGATGACCTGGATGACTGAGAACCTTCACAGACATATTAATCTAACACTACAATAGAATCATCACATCTGTGCTGGAAAAGGGTGCATCTCTAATTTAAGTATATCAAACAAATGCTAAAAAAAAATAATTGAGATGAAGGATTGGACCATAATTTGCACAAATGTAGTATCATGCACGCTGCAGCTGTTTTTCAGTTTTACAGAGGTGAATCATAGGGACGAAGAATCTAGCCCTCTAGCAGGCTGGGGTGTGTGCCATTGTTGGTGTGCCTTTTTTTTTACATACAGAACAGTAATTCTGCCCAGCGAAATTGTCAGACGGTCCCTAACTCGGGTAGGCAGAGTAGTTGATGCTGAATCGCCGAGCAGCAGCAGCTCGCACTCAGTCCGTCGCTGCAGTCCAACAGAGCGACCGGTTATCAACATCCTCTCCGCGGAGCTGTAACGCTATGTGGGTCTGAGCTGATGGTCAGCGGTTCAGCCACGGCACGACACCACGGTGTTTCATTTGTGGACATGAGGACACCTGCTACAGCGACTCCTTTCAAAACGTGGACCGGGAATCCCGACAGGCATCGATTTTCGACGAGCATATGAGAAAGGTGGTGATGCAGCAGAGTGGCTTCCACACAAGAGACCGCCTCTGTCAATTCGCAGCCAGCCAGCTAGCTAGTGCTAGCCTTGTAGCCAAATAGCTAGCACCTGGGCAGGCTGAGGGTTTTAAAGCTCCGTCTTTACAACCTCCGGGGTAGCTCAAATGTCAACGGACCGAAACGCGTATGTCGGGCTATTTGTATTTATTGTGTGGGTTTCCCCCTGAGCGTTGACAGGAACTTTATTTTCCTTTTTTCTTTCCATTGCTAGCCAGTATTAGCCGGGTAAGTTAGCGCATTTGCTTGTTAGCTAGCGTTTTGTATTGGCTAATCACCTCACACAGGCTGGCACTGTCACAGAATGAACTTGGTATTCTGCGTGGAGACGCAGCTCCATACCAACATGATGGAAAAGTACAGGAAAAACAGGGCTCTGTTAACACTGTCTAGCGCCAACCCCGCAGGCTTTAGTACGAATAGCAATGTTTGTCTTTAAAGGGGTACTTGCTTCATTTCCATCCATCCTTTACATTCGCACTTGGAGCAGCTGCTGAGCCGAATGAGACATTTGCCCCACGTCTTCTTTCCACATCTGCCGGCACGAGGGAATAAAACCCTTATCTTTTCCAGTATAGCCCACGGGTGTTTAATAGGTGGGTTGATATTCAGATGTAGTACAGCACAGAAAACAGGCATGCAATGTACTTAGAAAGCGCGGCTTACTCCCTTTTTTTTGGCTAGAGTTTGGAACACAACTGTGCATTGTGTGTTACTTTTGTGCTTTTTATCATGATACATGTGTGGTAGCAAGAAATACACCACTGCAATAAGATGAAACTGTAGAAAGAAAGCTGTGCTCACTCTGCAGTGGCACTAAAGCCAGTATGCGTAAAGGACACTTGATCGAACAGATACTACACAAACTCTTGATACCTTAAGCCTCTTGGAAAATCTATCATTTTTCTCATGGCCAAAGGACTAAGTCTTTTGTGTGTGTTTGTGGAAAGAGAAGGAGAGCGAGAGACATCCTGAGGTATTTATTTTCCAGATGACATGTTGTTAAAATCACCATAGCAAGCCAAGAGGATTGTTTATTACTCTAATATATCAGCTCTTGCTTGATATAAGACATGCCATTTACTTGAGCTGTCACTTTGCTTTTGATTGTAATTCAGAGCTGTTTGGCTCAGTAGAAGCCTGTCAGGGAGAGTGCATGGTGAGAGGATACTAGTGGTTACAAAAGACATGCTGCCAAGGTGGAGAAATGACAACTGAAGGAAAGACTATAAAGGACATCAACTCGTCTATCCTGCCAGTGCATAGAGAGCATTGACTATCTAAAAAAAATGGTAAAAAAATGAAGGAAGGAACAGGCAAGGTTTTTCTACAATAGTGTTTAGTCTGTTAAATATGCTCTCATTTGATTTTTTTTGTCTCCTAACTGAATGCCTCTGTGTACTTTTTTTCAGAACTATCATGGCCATGTTCCTGCTGACAAGTCACCCTGTTACTGAGGGATCTCTGCCTTTTTTGGTTTCTGGACCTACCAAAGCAGGGATGAGATAATAAAGTTAACCAGTCGGTGCATGCCGCTACAGCAACCCGTGGCACCTGTGAAACCCACCTTACCCCATCCCCAGTAAAGTCAATTTCAAACGGTCAAAAGATGACAACGCCGGCTCTACTACCGCTGTCGGGCCGCAGGATACCCACTCTGTCGCCGGGTGCCTCCTCCTTCCCGCACCATAGGGCCACGTTGAGGCTCTCTGAGAAGTTCATCCTCCTCCTCATCCTCAGTGCCTTCATCACCTTATGCTTTGGGGCCTTCTTTTTCCTCCCAGACAATTCCAAGCACAAGCGCTTTGACCTGGGCTTGGAGGATGTGCTTATCCCTCATATTGACACACCCAAGGAGGGCAAGCACGCCTCAGGACAGGTGATCATACATGGACAGGGAGGACACGATGAGCACAGACACAGGTAAGGGCCCTCAGAAGTATTGTTGAGTGTAGAAAAGAAAGAGCTTAATTAAAAAAAAAAAAATATATATATATATATATTTCTGTGTGTATTTGACATTGAATAAGGAGATCAGAAACAACTGGTTTTCTTACATATTAGTAAGTACTTAGTTTATCTTTGGTTCTTTACATAGCTTATGTCATTCAAACAGGTGTCTTGACACGTTTTTTCAAACAATCTGACGCCTCTGGATGTGTGTTACTGTTTGCCAAGTGATACACGTCAGCACAAATGCTCCTTTCATTTTGTTCCGTATTCCTTTGCACAGCTGAGTGTGCTCTGTGCTCTCTCGCCCTTTGTTTCTCCACTAGGTCTAATGGTTTTAGTTCTTTAACAGCAGGCATTTTATCACCTTGGCCTGAGTTTTGCTGTTTTGTCCCGCAGGCAGACATTGTTGAACTTGATGATCTAGAACACACAGGCTGTTTGAAAAGCCTTAGTGACTGCTTAAACAGGCTTGGAAATTAGTGTCAGCAGTGAGCTACATACTGGTCACTTTGGGCTTCAGTGTTGACATTTATCATTTGTTCTGTCCAGCTATCGTTCTGAGGTGCTTTCTCCCTCCTAAATCAGGGTCAGTGTTTGGTATCTCTAATAGTGTTGTGCCTTTTGGAATGCAGTGCTCTGCACAAGGTTCATGTGCATCTATCAAATGATATCTCAACTGACTCTGGAACACTGACAGAAACATTTACTTTTTTTAAAATCAGTATTTAAATGATAGAAAAGAAACTAAACCTTGTATTTACCTAATTTGTACTGCTGTGTTCATTTCAGAGCAGTGTGAGTGCCTCTGCTGCATTCATTTCTAGTCACGCCAGGTTCTCTCATAATTTCTCTCTGTTACCAGGCTGCAATCTGTGGGTTTCACTGTGTACGTGTACATATGAGGTGGGAAGGGTGGAGTAGAACACGTAGTGCAACACCAGAAGTGAAGATAGAGTTAGTCAGGTTAATGACAAGTGGTTTTCCAAGTGTTTCCCAACAAGCGTTCATCCAACTAAGATGGAAAAACACCATAGAACACTAAATGTATGTAGATCTCATGGCAGGCTTGATCTCATGAGAGTACTAGCATTTCTTCTGCTGAGTTCCAGCTAAATTACCCAACAAGCACAGCTGTGATCCTCCTTTACTGAATAACATGCTAAAATGGACAGAAAACACAAGCTAGTGAAAATACACATAGATTCATTTTTAACATGCTGTTTCAAAATTACACTGCACCGAACAACTGTCTAACAGTTGTAGGCAGTTTCCACTGCACATGCTGCAACGGTGCATTTTCACTGTTTCAATCAAAGTGGCTACACCGTGCGTAAGATTAGTGTGTAAGAAGTGGGAATATGCTGCGGAGATCTATTTAGCAATCACAAAATCAGACCAGTCTGAGGAATTGACACCAAAATCCAGTTAACAGCCAGTAGATAGTGACAGTTCCACAGTGCTGTGCTGTTTTCAAAAGCTAAAAACACAACAGAACCCATGAAATAAATCCTCAAGTCTTGTTTTCCTGTTAACTAACATAATCTTAAGTAGAACGTGCTCTTCAGGTGTATCTACTAACAAGCTCTGCTACACACATGTTCCACAAACATTACTGTGCTTTCAGTGTAGCCAAAGAACTAACAGTAGTTATTGTCCTTCTATTGGAGTGGTCTTTCGCTGGCATAACTCATTCACGTATGAATCATTCAAGCACATGCATATTATTTTGCAGCCACAAAATATTTATGACATGCATGAGTGCCAAAGGGCAGGTGAGAAGAACAATTTCATAGAAAAGGTCATCTGCAAGCTAGTAACGGACGTCATTAGTTTATCTGAAATCTTGGCAGGGTATTACCAAGCAGTTTCTCCCACAGTTTCAACGTTGCATTTTGCCTCCTTATTCCCTGTGATGCCCGTTCATATTTTCATTCTGAAAGCCTTTCTTTCAATGCTGCCTGCTTGAAATAACGTAATTGCTGTTGTCCAACGACTCAGACAAACAGAACAGGCAGTGCTGGGCTCAAATGGTGCTGCGTATTATCAAGTTTTTTTTGTTTTTTTTAAATGTCGAGGTGGGAAACTTGGAGTTATTCTTGCTTCACCATAAGTGGCAGTCATGTTTTGCTTCAAATACTTCTACTCTACTCGTCACTGAGGTCTTCTCGACTCTACTCCTATATTTCATTTCTGGGCACGTCCAAAACAAAATGGTCCCCAGGATGTTCCTGGGGACTAATTTACAAGTCATTTGAACGAGACAGGAAAAAAAAATCAGACTAGTTAACTAGTGTAAAAGGCAGAAGACGCTGGGCGCAATCTAACAGACAAGGATAAACACTGACCTTAGAATAGCTGTGTATGAATTTAGGAGTCATTTGAGACCATTAACGGATTCCTCAACATTCAAATCTTGTTATGAATGTTGGTGAAATGTGCAGCACTTTGTGCCGTGTATACCGCTGGGGCCACACAGTGTCAGATTAGTTTGATAAATATTTGCTAGCAGCAGTAGCCCCTTTCATGGCAGGCTAGCATCCACGTCTGTGCATAATGTGGTTACAAATTACTTGGACCACTTCAGTGTGGTTATATGCCAGTTTTCTCTCACACAGCCAACATACAAAAGTTCATTTTCTTCATCAATGTACTGCAGAGCTGTGGTGTTTCACGCAGCTGTCATCTTCTTACTTTCAATCTGTTTCATTTCAAGTTCCCTCACAGAGAGCGAGGGGGTCTCAGGCATTTGTCAGGGCTGCAGCACTAGTTGGTCTCAGGTGGCGTTGTAACATCTTTGAACCAACAGGTAACTTAGTAAAACAACAATAATAGATTTAACCGACTAGTATTTCTGGTGCCTACTAGCAAGAGTAGCAGTGTATAAATGTCTTGTTGACCGTGCACATGCCTAGTGTGAACGCAGTTAGTCTTGTGAACTGTGTCACTATAAAGCTGGAACATGGGAGTTTTACATATAATTAAACGTGCGTTACATTTAGGCCTTTCCTAATTTGAACTAGTAGATGGATAGTTCAAATTTCATCACCTTGGAGTATGTTATACATATCAGTATGTTTTAGTAAATCAGAATTTGAAATCTGATGTCTGCTTAAACACTTCCTCACTGGTGTGTCGAACTGGATGAATTTTAAATCAGCTGCGAGCGATTGGTTTTCCAGAGCTACAGAGGAACGTGACGTAGCATCAGACACACACAGCAGTATACTAACTGAGGTTATCGTCGTGGGGGATAAACTTAGCTTCTGAGAAAGTCAGATAGAAAAAGAAACTTGACATTCGCAGGAAGAATTATAGCCTTCAAAAAATGGATTGATATGCATTACAAGGGCTCGGCAACATTGCTTTAAACTTCCATGCTGCAGGCTTGAAATAAATCCCATTCAACGTACTCTTCATGTTTTGGGTAAGCTGTTTAAATGAGATTCCAGTAGGTTCAGTGTGCAGTCACAGATGGCAGAAGGCATTTCTTCTTCTTCTTCTTAATGAACTGAATACTTTTTTTTATATTTCTTTATTTTTTTATAGCCTTTTTCAGCTTTGTATTCAGATTCATGGATTTTTAATTGCTTAGTGAGCAACTCCTTGGAATTAATAACATGGCTGTGAGCGAGGGGGAAAAAAGCTGCACAGTTATGAGCATCTTCACTGCCATCCATTTTCAAGGATATACCAAGGACAGAAAAAATATAAATACGTTGCTTCACATTTGACGGAAATTAAGAGGAGTATATGAAATGTGATTAAAATACAGCCACTGAGATGTCACTGTGTTTTACAGAGGAAGAGTAATCGTAACCTTCCTGTCTGGAAATTAGTTTTATGCAAATTCAAAGTCAGGAATATGTGCTCCGTGTATTTTAACCTTACACAAGCATTCATGTGAGGTGTTTTTATCCTCTCCACCCCTTCTTATAAGAGCTTATTGAAATCTGTTCAGTTTGCTTGTTGGTGTAGCTGCCTCAGCTGTTCTTAAAGTGGTTATTGTGTGCTCCAGAGGACTCTGGGTTCAAACAGCCTCAGGAAAATGAGGTGTGCTAGCATTTAAAGAGACCCGCAGGAACCCAAACACGCTCATAATAATTTCACCTTTGCTTTATTCGGCCGCAGAAACCCCCACAGAACCAGTTCTTTGTTCACGAGCTCAACCTGTTAATAGTCCTGTAAAGCTTATGAGGGAGAAAAGGTTATTAATCTATGCTGGTATCCAGCCATTGAATTTTTGGAGAAACGAAATGTAACGGGGAAGAGGTATGTGTAGCCTTGCTCACATGGTGCCGGACTGAACATTGAGTGTTGGTTTTTGTAAACACCCAGGAGGAGTTGCGCTGCTTCCAGGGTTTCCCTTGGTTTCTGTGGGCTTATTCAAAAACAAGTTAACTTTTAGTTTACTTGATGTTTTTCGCTTTGGTAGTTACATAGCATGACCAGTAGGTGGGTTTGCAGGTTAAATTGGTTTAACTGGACCCTTATGTGACTGATGAGCTCTGACATGCCTGAGTTTATTGTAGAGACATAAGAAGAACTTGTTAAGCTTCTAACATTTTGAAAATAAAAACAGCCCATAATAAAATAACCCACTTAAGAGTTGAAAGTTGCCCTGTTGCTGTAAATACGTGTCACTGAATATAATGCAAGGCATCGTAACCTTCCTGTCTGCAAGGCATTATTTTCTGGTCAAGCGTCTGTATTTTGGCTAGTATGATGCTTCGGTGATTATTTAGCATCTTTCAGCATAATTTTGAGTTTTCTACCTGAACAGTAGAGGGTGTTTCTCTGCTGAGGTTTTCAGATCAGCACTGAAATAGTTGGCTTTTAAAACTGAAGATATTTTAGATCTTCCACCCGTTATCTTATTAAAACTATGCTGAAGACAAGTAACAAGATGCTTAACAGACATTAAAGAATGGAGTTGTTAGATTGGTGGAACATTCAAGGAAGTTCTTTGCATT